CCTGCTCTGATTATATGGCACCCTTGCTTAAATCTCTTTTCTGACTTTATATTGGCACTGAATCCAGAATAAGGTACTCTTGTTTATTCAAATATACACTTAGTCTCATGCTGTCCTTTATACTTAGAACTGCTTCCTCTTGTCCTAATGTAAACAGCAGAATAATCCAGTAAAAATGGAGGTGGCAGAAAAATGGTGGGATAACCATTATTAATGTTTACCAACCAGGCTTGTGCCAACAAGTTAGAAGGAAAGCGGAGGTTGTATTTCTCCTTTTTTATTTGACAACTTTTGATTCTTAAAAACAAAAACAAAAAACACCACCTTTCCCATTGTTCTCAATGAAATGTGTGTAAACAACAAGAAAATGGAGAAACAGCCACAGTGTATATCTTCCTACAACTCTACAGAGTTTTGCAGGGGCAGCTATTATTCTCCAATAAATGATTTCTCAGATGATTGAATTATAAGACCTGCAGAAAAGGTAGGGTGTGGGCAGATCTGAGGTAGAGAAAAGTTCATCAGATTTAATTTTTCCCCCTGAATATTTGCTTCAAGTGAAAATAATAAATATGAAAACTCATAGACACTGAAGTGATGACTATGATTTCAGAAGATAAGGAATTCACTTTGAAACCTAGATTGCTATGTATATGCATTCAGAAAACTGTTTTCTTGGGCATTGAACAAAAAGCCAAGAACAAAAAGCCAAGCCAGTGGATATGATTCCTTCTTTCCCCATCTCATTTTTTTAAAAAGTTTGGAAAATGCCACAACTCAGTGATAGGTATATACTTCATGCTCAATTATTGTGTTGCACCTTAGAGATATTTGCCTTTCTAAACTGAAAAGTAACATCCCAAGTCTTAGAAAACTGCTCTGAGAGCACGCAATATTGGACTTGATTGTCTGATTGTCTTGATAACCAAATAAGATATATCACTGAATCTATTTCTTACATTTCCATTTTTAAGTGAATTGTCTGTGTGTTTTTGATTGTTATTAGGACTATATGGATGGCTGCTGTTCTGCAATTCCTCTTTAATAGATGTTCAGAGGAAGAGGAGAATCTAGTCTTCATTAGAGAACTGAAACTATTAAAAGCAAAAAAGATCCCATCTTAGTATATGACCACTTCATCATATCTGCTTTACAGATTTATCTGAAAAGAATTGATGGAAAGGGCTGAACACTTGGTGGTACCAACTGTTTTGAATGTTAACTTTATTAAAGATCTCACTGAATGCCATTGTAGAAATTCCCTATGGATTAGAGGCAAGTGTTTATTGAATCTATTGTCCTGAGATTCCATATAAAATAGTATCCAAAATCTCAAAATTAGATACTGTATCTTCTGGGTATGGCCTTATTGCTGTGAAGAACTTTTCTCCAAATATCAGCATTTTGGAAGTAAATTTCCCCCCTTGCTCTGTTCTGCCTTGGAGAAGATCATTTAGCAAGCAGGTTCATTACAATGGATCATCCTGTTTGAAAGTCTCTCTTTGAGAAAAATCTCTTAGAGTGGCAGATGCTGAAAATACTGCAGTTTCTTCAGGTTCTTTCAAACTCCTAACATATATCAGAAGTTGCTTGCGACTCTCTCACCTCTTCTTCAGCATGTACATGTTCCCCAGGTCTCTGCTGAGCTTCTATCGGCACATGGAACTGCTCAAGGAAACTAAACTTTCTAAATGACCTACCCCGCTTGGCCCCAGTAAAATGAAGTGGGAGGGAATAAAGTAAATGGGGCTTCCCCAAGAATAGGTATAGCAACTACAGGTCCTTTTACTTGTCAGTCTTAATCTCTGCTACTGCCAGTTGCTGCCCCCCCCCCCTGCCCACCACTCAATCTCTTTCAGGTACTCGATTTCAGGAACTTGATTTTAGAGGAAGACATTATTATCAGGTCTCCTCTGAGCCTGGTGCAGGACCCTTTCCCACCTCTGTCTTGAAACAATCAAGATCAAGTCTGATCATCTTGTAACTAGATAGATAGATAGATAGATAGATAGATAGATAGATAGATAGATGCCTTCAAGTCAGTGCTGACTCCTGGTGACTGCCTGGACAATTCCTTGCAATTTTCTTGGCAGGATTTTGGAAGTAGTTTGCCATTGCCTCCTTTCTAGTGCTGAGAGAGAATGATTGGCTGAAAGTCACCCAGCTGGCTTTGTGTTTAAGGCAGGACTAGAATTCACAGTCTCCAGGTTTCTAGTCTGATGCCTTAATCACTATACCAAACTGGCTCTCGCCTTTCAGAACATCTCACTCTAATTTTCCTGGTGCTTGTGTCTTCTCTCCAGCACCCACTTTCTCCTAGGAATGAGTATTGGGCCTTACAAGATCAACCTCACCATGGTCTGGATCAGGTGACAGGATTTGTTTATGGCCATGTAAGGAGTTGGGACTATCTCCCCAGTGACTGTCCACATGCATCAAACTTTGTTGCTCAGATTTTATGAGTATAGCTATGTCAAAAACATTTCAGTGGCTATCCATTTATCTTCAGTCAACATGATTCTACTCATGGATTTATCCAGGGAAAAGTGGGAACGGCAGGGGGATTCATAAACAATTAAATGTTGTATATATTGTTAAAAACCCCGGGAAATCAAAATGCCTGCCTACATTTCTTATTGGAGAATTCCACTGGGCATCTTCTATATGGTTGTGTTGTAGTGGCACAATTTGTTTCTTAAATTGTTGTATTTTGATGCAATAAACACATAGACGCTGAAATATATTTAGGTTTTGAAAAAAGTATATTGCATAAATAAGTTCCATTCATTTACTGAATCTTGTGTGGATCGAAGTATCCTATCTTAACTTTGACACAGATATAAAGAACTACTGAGTATGGCTTATTTTAAGATTTTTTAAATGTATGTATGTATGTATGTATGTATGTATTATTGAAAGCATTTATATGGGTGATGTCAGGCCCAGCCCAAGAACGATGAAACAGTCCAGTCCAGTCCAGTCCAGTCCAGTTCCTTTATTAGCTTACACCTTATAGACAGAATCTTGC